TTATTTAATTTATTTCACAAGTTCTTAAATCTTTGGTCTGTGTTACAATGTACGTTGAGTGGGTGTGTCTATGGACCTTTTTCACATTTCCGGGTTTCTCAGCAGCGGAAGTCGTCATAGTTGGGTTAACTTGAAGAGCAGTGAATGGGAGAGTACCACAAATTTATTTTTTGCATTCCCATTTGCTCAAATAGCAAAAGAAAAACTCCACGATAGTGTTTTCATGACTTTCAATAAAAGGAAAAAAATTGAGTGAGACTGATAATAACGGCAGTCAGAAGAGAGAACGATGTCAAACTTACCGTCCCTCCCATAGATGCTGAATTAGTGTTAACTGTTTTTTTGTAATTTGAAGCAAAGGCGATATGATACAAAGAATAGTGTTATAAATGTACATACATTTAAAAAAAAATACAAATATGAAAAACTTGAGGATTTACAATGCGTTAAACGCGACATCGCAGTCTTGTGAAAAGGGTCCATTTTGCACATAGATCGATAGCCTGTAAGTGTCTAAATAATATAAAATACATTACACACATATATATATATATATATATATATATATATATATATCCTGTTGGACTCTTTAAGGCACAAATCCACAAAGGAAGTGTGGGGGTACAAAAGAAAAACAAACAATGAGGAGAAAAAGAAATGGGGGTGGCTGCTGCTCTTTTCCTGTCTCAGGCCTTGAAGTCAGTGTCACTCAGCTGACTATGGTTTTACACCTTACCTCTGAGACCACATAACACTTAGCCAAATATACCATAAGAAGCAGGCTTATACAAAGTATATATATATATATATATATATGTGACCCCACATTTTTCTTGGTTTAATCTCATTCTTTCCGTTGACTCTCGCCACAGCTTGCTTGATGTTCTGCTGGCTGCCAACTTTCCGTAATTAGCTCTCTCTCTCCCTGCACTCACAGTGAGGCAGAGTGCAGCCAAATGTAAATCTCTCCAGAGGCTTTCCACAGTATGAACATGACACACATCTGGAGGATGCCAGATTCTTGACATGTTACAAGAACCAGTCAGTACGACCAGTGCAGGACCATTTGTCTTCTTGTATGCACTGCCACCTCCTTCGTCTTTAACGGCAGTCAGAAGAGAGAACGATGTCAAACTTACCGTCCCTCCCATAGATGCTGAATTAGTGTTAACTGTTTTTTTGTAATTTGAAGCAAAGGCGATATGATACAAAGAATAGTGTTATAAATGTACATACATTTAAAAAAAAATACAAATATGAAAAACTTGAGGATTTACAATGCGTTAAACGCGACATCGCAGTCTTGTGAAAAGGGTCCATTTTGCACATAGATCGATAGCCTGTAAGTGTCTAAATAATATAAAATACATTACACACATAT